TAGACATTTTTCCAAAGACTACATACAAATGGCCAACAGGTATATAAAAAGATGCTCAATGTCACTAATCATCAGGGAAATGCAAATCACACTTGTTAGGCTGGCTATTATAAAAAAAAAACAAAACAACTCAAAAGACAAAAAGTGTTGGTGAGGATGTGGAGAAATTAGAACTCTTGTGCACTGTTGGTGGGAATGCAAAATGGTACAGCTGTATGGAAAACAGGGAGGTTCCCCCCAAAATTAAAAATAGACCTACCACATTATCCAGCAATCCCACTTCTGGATATTTATCCAAAAGAATTGAAATCAAGATCTCAAAGAGATATTAGCACTCCCATGTTCATTTCAGTGCTATTCACCGTAGCCAAGATGTGGAAACAACTTAAATGTCCACTGATAGATGAATAGGTTAAAAAATGTGGTATATGTATATACAGTGGAATACTATTCAGCCTTAAAAAAGAAGAAAATTCTGCCATATGCCACAACGTGGATGAACCTGGAAGATATTATGCTGAGGGAAATAAGCCAGTCACAGAACAACAAATAAGCATATTTCCACTTATATGAGGTATCTAAAATAGTCAAACTCATAGAAGCAAAGAATAGAATGATGGTTGCCAGAGGCTTGGGGGAGGGGAGAATGGGGAGTTGCTAGTCAGGGGGTACAAAATTTCCGTTATGCCCGCTGAATAAATTCTAGAACTCTGCTGTACAACAGTGTGCCTGGAGACAGCAATACTGTACTGTACACTTAAAAATCTGTTAAGAGGGTAGATCTCATGTTGAGTATTCTTAACACAATAAAATTTAAAAAACATTAAGAAATTAAAAAGAGCTCGTGAGGCAAATATGAGAGGTAAACAGGAGAGCAAGGAGACTCATGCAGCTTCGGGTCACCAATAATTCTCTTCAGTTGTTGTGAAAACCATCTTGGCAGAAAACTTTTCCTCTTACAGAATAAAAGGGCTCACTAAAAATTATTCTTCTCCATCCCTCGAAGAAGGATCTCTGACTGGCACATGTTATTTATGGCAAAAGCAGAATTAATTCCACAAAGATCTACTTGGCTTCTGCCACGTAGCAGGTTACGAATAGAGACTAGAACAAGAGGAGCTGCTGCTCGGCTCGCAGGGCAGTGTAGCAGGATGGTTAGGAGCAGGGACTCCGGCGGTCAGACCTGGATTCCAATACTGACTCTGCTGCCTGCTGGCTGTGTGGCCCTGAGCAAGCTGCCTGACCCCTCTCTTCTCTGGAAAATGGGGATGATAATCTTCAGGGTGTTGTCAGAGTTAAAAGAGAAAAGAACGCATGACATGCTTTGGACAATGCCTTCCACGTGGTGCAATGTGCTGTTATCATTATTAAATACCACTATCAGGCGATGTGAAAAGGAGGGAGCTATAAGGATGGAGTGCCCTGCCCCGCGGAGGAGAGAGCTGCCTGTGTGCTCTGCTGGGGGCGGGGGCAGGAGAGCGTCCCAGAAGAGGTGACTTGAGCTGGGCCTGGGAGGAGATGTCAGGGCCAGGAAGAGGGAGATTCCAAGGATGGAGTGCAAGGTTTCAAGCTTGGGTAACTGAGAAAACGGTTAATTCAACTAGGTCAGAGTGTGGAAGGACATGCCCAGGGGACTGGTTCTAGGGCAGGGTGGCTCTCAGCGAGCTGAGCTCCTCCAGTCTGATGGGGCCCGGAGGCCAAGTGAGTCCCAGGTCCAGTGAAGGTGGCCTCTGTGAGCATGAGGACCCCGAGACTGGGGCTGGGCTGTGAGGATTGTGTATCTTACCCTTAGGTTTGTTCTAAATGAGACTCGTCACACCAAGATGGCCCGTGGGTTTGTGTCTGACTCAGGGGAATCGGGGAAAGAGGAAAGAGGAGTGAGCGGGGGAGGCCATGGGGGGCGGTGGAGAAGCAGAGGATGGAGTGGGTGGCCCATTGACCATGAGAGGAGGTGGTTCCGGGGCTGTTGCCTGGCCGCAGGGAGGCAGGAAGGGAGGGTCTGGGCTCACATGAAGACCCAGACTGGGCAGGAGGGCCCTGGGGTGCAGCTCCAGCCACATCTTGTTGGACAGGCTTGAGGCCTGACCTGGATGTGTCTAGAGGGCAGCTGGAAATGCCACCCGGGGGCGGCTCTGGGAGTTGGGAGGACCCCAGGGTGGGGCGGGCCCTGGAGATTTGGGGTCAGCCATCTGCATGGCCCCAGGGGAAAAGCCTAAACTTTTCCAACATGGAGGGAGGCAGCAACACTGCCTTTGGCTTCTAGAAACTTCCTAGAGCTGACTCTACCTGCTTTGGGCATGTCAGTCAGGCCTGGGTATGAGTAGGGGAAGCAGCAACTGACTCTAAGAATGAAGAGGTGTCCAGGGGGCTGCGAAACGTATAGTCTCTCCAAAGGGACTGAGAGGGCACCGCTTTATGTCCCATCTTTCTTAAGACCTATTTTGGGGAAGTCAAGTTCTCTACTGGAAAAAGCCTGGGATCGGGAGTTCAGGAGCTCCAGGCCAGCTCTGGCATGGACCAACTGTGTGTGCCTGGGCAGGGCAGTGAGTCCCTGTGCCCCTTTAAGATTGGGCATGTGCCCAGGCCCTAAGTCAGACTGGAGGACAGATGCCCAGCTCTCTGAGAGCTGCCCTGCCCCAGAACCAGTCCCCTGGGCATTTTCTTCCACATTCTGACCTAGTTGCCCTAGTGCACTTAGCACTCTCTCCATGCCATGTCTTCCTCCCCAAATCCCTGCAGAACAAGCAGCATCATCCCCCTTTACAGATGAGGCTCAGAACAGGTGAACTCTCCCCCAAGACGGCACAGCTAAAACACAGTGGAGGCAGGAGTTGAACCCAGGCAGCAGCCTGGCCCCTGGGCTCATGCTTTTGAATCATCTCACTATGTGGCTTCAGGCATATAGCTTGGAACACGGGGATCTCGTCTCCTCTTTTACAAAATGGTGAAAGCCATCGATGATTTATTTACTCTCCAAGTTTACCATGGGCATGGCAGGGGTCTGTGTTGGTGAAACCGTCCGGAAACGTTTAATGCATCTAACAAGCGTGCATTAGGAGAGGCTCCCTGTTTCTGGTCTGTGCAGATCTCCTGGCACCTTCCGGATCTCAGACCAGAAAGTTTGCACCCCCTCAGGCAGTATTAGAAGTGTCCCAGTGGCCAGGGCCAGGGCTCAGCTGTAGCCCTCTTCCTTCTCGGGGGAGCAGGTGACGGCAACACCAGGAGGTGCCCAGATCACGCAGAGGGAACGTGTTGGGGCACTCCAGGTCACTGCCCTAGAACAGTGCTGCTCCCTGCCTTGAGCTGGGTTGTCAGGGGCCCATGGCAACTCAGGCAGGGATGGAAGGACCCCAAGAGGCCATCCGGGCCAGCCCCCTGCCTCCAAATCATTGCAAAGGGACACAAATGGCAAAGCTATGGCCCCTCTTGGTGCTGCTTCTGAGCTTAAGACATTTGAGAGTGAAATAAAGTTGGGAGAGGTCATTGTCTGAATCCAGAACATAAGTTGCATTTGTTAAGAAACATGTTTGGCTATGTGGGGTGGCAGAGGCTCACGGGTTCACAAAGTGCTCAAGAGAGGCCTGTGCGCTCTCCTTTCATGAGCATCCACATGGTCTCGAACAAGCACGCTGTTGTCTTATAAGGGGATGCTTCAAAAACATTTACCAATACCCCCTCTCTTCTCTGAAATTGCTCTGTTACCTTTTTTCTTTCAAAAACACAAAAATGTCCCTTGACCCCATACCTCCCCTTTCCCTGCCACCTCTCACAGAAACACTTTTCCAAAGACTTGTCCACACTCACACCTTCACCCCACCGACTCCTGAGTGCGGCCCAGTGTGGCTTGTGTGCTCACTCCACTGACACCACAGGCCCCTTGATCTCCTTGTTGCCAAACCCAGCCCATGTCTCTGTCCTGGTCCTATAGATTCCACAGAGGCTGTTCCTCCCTTCATCCTGGGACCAGATGCTGAGGGGGAGGGGACAGCACATGAGCAGTGCCGGCTGGCCCCCCTCCCGCTCCCTTGACGGAGCGCTGTGATGATTGTGGAGCTCTCCTGGAGCCTCCTCTGACCTCCTGGCTTGCCTCCTCCCTGCCGCCTCCTCCTTCCCGCCTCCGGCTGGCTCCTGTCCTCTCTTCCATCTACACCCTCTCCCTGGGTGACCCCATCCAGTCCTCAGCCTTGAGCACCAGGTACTCACTGACACGTCACACAACACTCAATCCTGTGTCCCCAGGGCTGACCTCTTCCTGATTTTCAGACACTTCTACCCCAGCAACCGCGGGACAGCTCCCTGGGGACAGCTCCAACAGGTCACCAAACATTAAAAACTGACTCCTAGTTTTCATCCCCACTCTGTTTCTCTTCCAGCCTTCATCATCCCAGAAAATGGTGCCACCAGGCTGGTAACGAGGAGCCCGTGTCACTTCCCGCCTTCTCTATATATCACGTCAGCAGGGCCTGTTGGTTCTAACTCAAAAATATAACTGGAATGCAAACAGCAGCCCCACCACCCCCCACTCTCACGGCTGTGTTCTGAGCCTCCAGCCTCTCACTGGATGACACCAACAGCCCCCAAACGAGCTCCCAGCGTCCATGGTTGCCCTTTCCAATTCTATCCCAAGAGCAGCCAGCGTGACCCTCTAAAGTAGGTTAGACCACCTGGTAGGGCATCATAACCTCTTGCTTCCCAAAAGTTTCTTGGTTATTCTTATTTATTTCTTTTTCAGATGAAATTTAGAAGCAAATATTTTTTTAAAATAAATAATTCAGTGGTAAACCAATCCAGTCCAAAGATCCATTCATTCAAATAATACGTACTGTAGGCTCCTTCTATGCAGTCAGTGTTCTAGATTATCAATTACTGCAGTCTGAGTTAGTGATACTTTCTTTTGGGGGGGCTTGTTGCTTTCCTGGAGCATCTGAGATGACTTGATTACAGACATTCCAGCTCGGCGCTCTCAGGAGGGCAGGGGGCAGGCCGTGCGGGTCTCTTACCTCCCTGAGGCAGGTGTAGATGGGGCAGACGAGCACGCGGAAGGGCTCGCCCGTGCTGCTGCGCATGGTGCCGAACACCTCGCACAGGAAGGTGATGAAGCCCAGCCAGCGCTCCACGTCCTGCTGCTGCAGCTCCTCCCGCACCGTGAAGTCCTTCTGCGGAGGCACAAGAGACCATGTCAGCCTCGCCGGGAAGAAGGGACCCGGGCACCACCTTGCTCTGCTGAGTGCCTGCTGTCTAAGGGTCGGTCCTGGGCAACTGGTAAACCCCATGTGTTCAATGAGGACAGGGATGAGTGACCTGTGGCTGAAGTATGAATGCTGGGGACTCACTGGGGGCAGCAAGTCCACCCTGACCCTTGGCCACAGCACCTCTTCTTCGGTGTCCCCTGATTGGGAACCGCTCAGCCTTGCTTCACTGACCCCAATACTGAGGTGGGGGGAATGAGATGAAGGAGGAGATGAAACCTTTCCTAGAGTCATCAGGGTCCCCATTCAACTCCCTGTGGCTAAACTATCTCCCTCTGCTAACCCTCAAATCATGCCCTCCACATCAGGGTGGGTAACCAGAACATTGCCCCGTACATGTCGGCAATGGGCGACTGAGGTCCATCTTGGACCCAGCACTGGGGCAGACACACAACTACAGCCCTTGACCGCAAGGGGCCTAGAGGATAGTAGGAAAATTAGAGGTATTCATTCATTGATTCATTCATCCTCAAAAATATTATTGCCTCACTATGTGCCAGGCACTGCACTAGGAGCCAGGATAAGACATGTTCACTCATAACTACGATACAAGGGAGAAGGTATTCAAAGCCATTGGAAGGGTCCAGATGAAGGGACTTTGGGAGCTCAGAGGTAGGAGTTATTACTTTCAACTGGAAATCAGGGCCTTGAAAGAGCTAGGATTCGGACATGGGAATATCGGATATTTCAGGGGGAAAGAATGACAACAAAGGGGAAGGCACAGGGAAGGCACTTGGGTGTTTGGGGAACAGGAAGGTATAACCCAGCCCGGGTCCAGCATCAGTGGAGTCGAGAGGAGAAACAGGAAGCAGGGCTGGGAAAGAAAGGTGGGGCTAGAGTATGGACAACAGAAAACAGCCAAGGAGCTGGGTGTTGTGTGACAGTCGGAGGGAAGGCTTTGGGTGGGTCATGAAATGCCATGGTCATACCAGTGTTCTTTAGAAGGTTAATATGGCTGAGGTGTGGAGACCAAGCAGGAGGATACTATAGAAGTCCAGGCAGAATGAAATAAAAACCTGAAATCTCTGGCAACTGAACAATAAGAATTTTTGGTAGGTTAGATGATGATCAGAAATATATTTCCCCTACCCCTTGTCTTTGGGTTTGGCCAGATGACTTGCTTTGGCCAACAGAATGAGGCAGAAGTGACAGGGTGCTGGTTCTGATCCTAGGCCTTAAGAGGCCTTAAGTATTTATGCTTACTCTCTTATGCTTCTTCCATCATCATGAGAAGACCATTTCTGGGTAGGCCCAATGGTCCCAGTGGGGTGGTAAGAGAAGTGTGGAGCAAGGCCCCACCCAAGTCTAGCCTAGACCAGTTCACCCCCCAGCCAAGTTGTACACACAAAATCTAAATACATGCTTATTGTTGTGTGTCACTGAGGTTTCTATGGATGTTTGTTAAGCAGCAATAGCTGACTGATACAGAATTGGTACAAGGGACAAGAGACAAGGTAAAGAGTACTTGCTAAGTGGTGGGTTATAGGGGTGACGGAAAAGGAAAACTCAAAGATAACACTAAGATTCTGGGTCTGGGAGGGAACAGGTTGTAGAACATGACCCAGGCCATTCCCACAGGCCAGTACCCCTCCCCCTGCTTATTTTGGTTGAGCATCTTCCTCAATGCCAGAATCTCAGAATCTCCAGAGGTGGAAGGTCCTCAGAGATGACTTGGTTAATGTCTGTCCCTTGTGTCTGATGAAAGTGGCATCTAGAAATCTAAAAGGGCAGACGGGACCTCAGCCTCCTCAGCTGGCAAATTAGGGGCTGGAGGAGAAGACCTCTAAGAGAAGTCCCTCCAGTTCCAGCTTCTGATGAGCCTGGGTCACAGCTTATAACTCGCAGTTTCATCCGCTTGAAGTGTGTGCGTGTGTATGTGTATGTAAAACAGCAGCAGCAGCAACAGCTACTATCTGTGGACCAGACGCTGGACCAAGCATCTTAATGGTAACATCTCATTTAATCATCACACTGAGCCTATGAGGCAGGTCCTATTATTGTCCCTCTGTATAGATGGTGAATCCGAGGTTAGAGAAGTTCCCCAACTTGCCCATGGCTATGTGGCAATGGCAGAGCTGAAATTTGAACCCAACTGGAGACCAAGCTCCCCCACCCTTTTAATGGTGTTTTTAAATCACTCTCCCAGTCTGAACTTTCCACTACGCCATTTGTCCAGACTGTCCCCTGGAAGTCTACTCATGCCCATAGATCTCATGGGTCTCATGCCAACCCCTCAGGCCTCCTGCCTGTCCACTCATTTCCCACTGAAATGTCTACCTGTGTACAACTGTGGTTTGCCAGTACATGGGGTCCTGTTGTTTGTCTCCCATCCTGGAGTCTGAGCCAGGGCAGGGTCCCTCAAAGAGTCTCCTGGGTTTAGCCAGGGACTTCAAAAGTAGTGGGTACCCAGCACCTTCGATGGCTTTGTATCTTCTCCTTAGTACAGAGCCTAGAGCAGGCAGCCCCCATAGGGGCTGCCCTGTGGTGTTCTGGGTACCTGTGAATGAATGAATGAGTTTGCCTGTCACCCCAGAGCCTGCAAAGGGCCCTGTACTGCTGGTCTTGAAGTCAGGAATCTTTCGGTGGTTCTACCCTCATTAACTTGTGATCAGAGCAGGGGCAGGCATCATCGTTCTCATTTTATAATGGAGGAAACTGAGGCATAAAGAGATGAAAAGCCTTGATCAAGGTCACCCAATACTAGAACTTGAATGAACGTAAGCCCTTCCATGACTATAAAGCTGAAGACAAAGATAAATAGATGGAAAAAAAAAGGAAGGAAAATGATAAAGAAGACAGAGTGGACATCTAACCTGTGAATTATAGAGGTTTTCAAAAAGAGAACAGAGAGAAAAACTAAGTTGAAAACAAAACAAACAAACAAACAAACAAACAAAAAAGAGCTAACTCTTCAGGTAAAAGGGTTCACCATGTTCCAGACCCCCACTACCTATACTTAGCAGGAAAATTTTCTTTTTTAATTTCAAGAAAAAGGAAAAATTCTAAAAACAGCTAAGAAGGAAAAAAAAAAGCTAGGTTTCTTACAAAGGAACAAAAATATGATTGGCATTATACTTCTATATTTGATGTTAAAATTCGGAGACATTGAGGCAACATCTTCATATATTTGAGGTGAAAAGAACACACCCAGCTATGAGTGAAAGCAAGATAAAGACATTCTACACAAGCAAATGTTTTTAAAAAAATCTCATCTAGGGGCCAGCCTGGTGGCGTAGTGGTTAAGTTCGCGAGCTCCGCTTCAGCGGCCTGGGGTTCGCAGGATCGAATCCTGGGCGCGGACTGATGCACCGCTCATCAAGCCATGCTGTGGCAGCATCCCACACATAAAATAGAGGAAGATGGGCACAGATGTTAGCTCAGAACCAATCTTCCTCAGCAAAAAGAGAAAGATTGGCAACAGATGTTAGCTCACGGCCAATCTTCCTCACCAAAATAAATAAATAAATAAATAAATAATAAAATACACAATGAATCGGAGATAATTAAAAATAATCTCATCTACATGCTTATCTTGAATTAAATGGTGCAGTGGCTATGAAAAATGGCACGGTGATCCCTCAAAAAATTAAAAATAGAGGGCCGGCCCCACGGCTTAGCGGTTAAGTGTGTGCGCTCCGCTGCTGGTGGCCCAGGTTCGGACCCCTGGTGCGCACCGACGCACCGCTTCTCTGGCCATGCTGAGGCTGTGTCCCACATATAGCAAGTAGAAGGATGTGCAACTATGACATACAGCTATCTACTGGGGCTTTGGGGGAAAAAAAAAGGAGGATTGGCAATAGATGTTAGCTCAGAGCCGGTCTTCCTCAGCAAAAAGAGGAGGATTAGCATGGATGTTAGTTCAGGGCTGATCTTCCTCACAAATAAAATAAAATAAAATAAAAAATTAAAAATAGAATTACCAATATGAGCCAATAATTCTATTTCTGGGTATATATCCAAAAGAATTGAAAGCAGCATCTTGAAGAGATATTTGCACATCTGTATTCATAGCAGCACTATTCATAATAACCAAAAGGTGGAAGCAACTCAAGTGTCCACTGACGGAAGAATGGATAAACAAAATGTGGTGTATGCATACAACGGAGTATTATCCAGTCTTAAAAAGGAAGGCTTTTCTGACACCTGCCACAGCATTAACCATGAGGACATTATGCTGAGTGAAATAAGCCAGTCACAAAAGGACAAATACTGTATGATTCCACTTATATAGGTACCTAGGGTAGTCAAATTCATAGAGACAGAAAGCAGAATCATGGTTGCCAGAGGCTGGGGAGAGGGGGCAAAGGGGAGTTGATTAATGGGTTATAGTTTCTGTTTTGCCAGATGAAAAAATTTTGGAGACTGATTGCATAACAGTGTGACTATACTTAACATGACTGAACTATACACTTAGAAATGTTTGAGATGGTAAATTTTATGTTATGTGTTTTTTTTTTAACCACAATTCAAAAATAATTTAAAAAATTAAAAACTTTCTCAAATGCGTGCTCCAGCCAACAAAATTTATTACTCTACTCTGAGGAAATCATGGTATAGAAGGACCGGAAGCGAAAACTGAAACTAGGTAGACTTACGAAGTGAAGTCAAAATAAGTAATTATAATTTTGGTTATAAGATTGAGTCAGGGGCCAGGCCTGGTTGCCTAGCGGTTAAGTTTGGCACACTCCGCTTTTGTGGCCAGGGTTCAATTCCTGGGCATGGACCTACACCACTCATCTGTTAGTGGCCATCCTGTGGCAGCAGCTCACATACATAAAGAGGAAGATTGGCAATGGATGTTAGCTCAGGCAAATCTTCCTCAGGAAAAAAAAAAAAGATTGAGTCAGAAGCTGGAAATAACCCTTGAAAGAAGAGATATCTAATTATTAAATGTAATTTGAATAAGC